AACCCCTGATATAAAAGGTAAAGAAGGGAAGTAAAGGGACAGCTATATTGGTCTTAATTCTTACTTATAGGCACAAAATGGTTGAAGGAATAGAAGTAACAGGAACTTTGGGAGAGAGTGTCCATGATGTACTTGAATTCACCATAAAGTAATGCAATCACATGTAACTAAACCAAGTCAGATTAGTGTTTTAGACTGTAAGAAAGCTGATTTCAACAAGCTCAGAGACAAACAAAAAAAGTTCCATGGATGGATATCCTAAAATGAAAAACAGTTCCAGACGCTTGGAAATCCCTGAAAAATGAGATAATGAAAGCCCAATCAAAAACAAGAGAAAGAAAAACTAAAGACATCAGACGAGACCAGCATGGTTGCACAAAGAGCTCTCTGATAAATTGAGGGACAAAACGATCAAATAAAACAGCCTGAATCTGCAAGGAGGGAATCAGGAAAGCTAAGGCCCAGAATGAGCTAAAACTATGGTAGCAACCAATGCCAAAAATAATTCCAGACATTTCTTGCAATATAAACAAGAAAAAAGTCAAGGAAATTATAGGTCCACTAATGGGAGCAGATGGCCAGAAGATGACTGGTAACAGGCAGCTGGGAGAAAGCAGAACTGCTCAATTCCTTTTCATCTATTTTTATGTAAAAGGAAGAAGGAGCTCAACTTATCCAAAGCAGAACAGAGGGAGATAGTAGAGGTATACAAGCAGTGGTGGGATTCAAATATGTGAACAACCAGTTCTTTGTGTGGATGCCACTTCCGGAAGTCCATTCTGGGCCTGGGCAACAAAAAATTAGCTTCGGTTCTGCCGAAGTAGTGCGAACTGGCTGAATCCCACCACTGTATACAAGTCAAAATAGATAAGGAATTTGTAAGAGAATATCTGTCCACCCTGGATCACCTGGGCCAGATAGTTTACATCCCAGGGTTTTGAAGGAGCTGGCAGATGTAATTTTGGAGCTGCTGAATGTAATCTTTCAAAACTCATGCAGCACAGGAGAAATACCAGAGGACTGGAAAAGAGCTAATGTGGTTCCAATCTACAAAAAGGGAGAAAAATGAATTCAAGAAATATAGACCAATCAGCTTGACATCGATACTTGGGAAAATCCCGGAAAAGATAATCAAGCAGAGGATTTGTAACCATCTAGAAACAAACAAGCTTGGGTTTGTTTGTTAAAAGTTTTAACAAGCTTGTTAAAAACAGATCATGCCAGACAAACCTTATTGCCTTTTTTTGACAAAGTAACTAAATTAGAGGATCAGGGAAATGCTTTGGACATAGTATACTTGGATCTGATAAAGTAGACCACAATCTACTTCTTGATAAGATAGAAAAATGTAGGATAAACAGTACCACCCAGAGGGATTTGCAATTGACCAACCAACTGCACTCAGCAGGTGGTCCTCAATGGAACTACATCTACATAGAGCAGGGATCTTCAAACTTGGCCCTTTTATGACTTGCTAAGCTGGCTGAGGAATTCTGGGAGTTGAAGTCCACAAGTCATAAAAGGGCCAAGTTTGAAGACCCCTGACATAGAGGGAAGCATGCAGTGGGATACCTCAAGGATTGGTCTTGACCCCAGTGCTCGTCAATATCTTCATAAATGATCTAGATGAGAGGGTAGAAGGGGAACCCATCAAATTTGCAGATGACACCAAGCTAGGGGCATTGCTAACACTTTGGAAGATAGACTCAAGATTCAGAAGGATTTTGATAGATTTGAGCATTGGGCCCTATCCAACCAAATGCAGTTCAGTGGTGGGAAAAGTGAGATCCTGCACTTAGGCAGGAAAAACCAAATATATAGGTACAGAATAAGTGGTACCTGGCTCAACAGTAGTAATGGGATGTAGGTGTCCCACCTAGTGGACCACCACTTAAATATGAGCCAGCAGTATGCTGCAGCTTCCCAAAAAAAACCAATGCAGTCCTGGCTGCATCAACAGAGGGATAGTGTCAAGACAATAAGAAGTGACAGTACCTCTTTTACACCATGCTGATGAGAGCACACTTGGAATACTGAGTCTAGTTCTGGTTACCACAATCCAAAAAAGAGGTTGAGACCCTGGAAGATGTGCAGAGAAGAACAACAAAGTTGACAAAGGGTCTGGAAGCTAAATCATATGCAGATGGTTGAGGGAGCTAGGTATGTCTAGCCTATCAAAGAGAAGGATTAGGATGACATGATAACTGTCTTCCATAGTTCAGGGGCTGTCACAGAAAGAGGGGATTCCCTTATTCTGTAATGCAGTGGTCCCCAACCTTTATGGCTTGGCAGCCCTGCGAGGAGGGGGAGAGGAGAACTGGCCCATGAAAGCAGCCCGATGCTCGCACAAGTTGAGCTGTGTGCATGCATGTGGGTGTCTGCCGGTCAGCAGCTCATGTGGCCCACTTCCGAACTGGTCACAGCCCTGTAGTGGTTTGTGGTCTGGGGGGGTTGAGGACTCCTGCTGTAATGCACCAGAGGGAAGAACAAGAAGTAATGGGTGAAAGCGTGTTAAAGAGAGATTCAACTTAGAAGAAAGAAGAAATTTTCTGACAGTGAGACCAATTAATCAATGGAATAGCTTTCCTCCTGGGGTTGTGCGTGCAGTGGTCAAATCACCGCTGCCAACACTGCACGGCCAACCTGCTGCAGGACAATTCAACAATTTTAATTAAAATAATTAAAAATTATTTCAACTTTTGTCATTCACATTTCATTTTGTCCCCCCTTTTGCATCCTTTCTTGAATGATTTTATTTCACCATTTCCTCGATATTATGTAACTTTTGCCCTGCAACAAGTTGTCCTGCAGCAAGTTGGCTGTGGTGAATTGGCAGCAGTGAGTTGGCTGTGGTGAGTTGTCCTAGACCAGGGGTAGGCAATCTTGGCTCTTTTATGACTCGTGGACTTCAACTCCCAGAATTCCTGAGCCAGCCATGCTGAGGGGAAAGGGAGAGGTTTCCAAGCTGAGCCATGCTGGCTCAGGAATTCTGGGAGTTGAAGTCCACGAGTCATAAAAGAGCCAAGATTGCCTACCCCTGTCCTAGACCCCTATGACTGCAGGTTTTTTTAAAAAAATTATTCAACCATTTGACTGGGCTGGTATAAGCCTCCTGCCTTGAGCAGAGGGTTGGACTAAAAGACCTCTGAGATCCCTTTCAGCCCTATGATTCCATAAAATTCCATGGAATTAATCTTATATTAAAATATGTGTTCTATTTTTATTAGTTTCCTTTTCTTTTAGGTTTACTTTATTTTAATCTCGATTAGAACTTTAATTTTTAAAATTATACAAACACTGATACATTTTGTTGCTGTTGCTTGTTATAACTCAGTGGTGGCGAACCTATGGCATGGGTGCCAGAGGCGGCACTCAGAGCCCTCTCTGTGGGCACGCGCGCCGTCGCCCCAGTCCTAGGCCTTCAGCTGGGTTTTATGAAACCTTTTCGCTTTAGGCCTCCGCTGCCGTGTGCAAAAAAAAAATATTATTCAATCAATCAGTCAATTTCAACTTCTCGCGGGGAAAAAAAGATCTTGCAAAGTTGGAATTGATTGATTGAACTTTTTAGTCCCACCCAGTCTGCCATTACCACCGCAGCCACGCCCAGCCAATGGGCCACACATCTCCAATTGGCCACGCCCAGCCAATGGGCCACACATCTCCAATTGGCCATGCCTAGCCAATGGGCCACACACCCCCGGCACCTGACGATGCATAAGTGGGCTTTGGGTTGCAGTTTGGGCACTTGGTCTCTAAAAGGTTCGCCATCACTGTTATAGCTTGTTATAGTTCACCACTAATTTTTTTGAAAAAGGAAAAAAAAAGGGACCAGAGGTAGTCAGAAAAAAAACCCAGTTCACGCCAAATGTAAGTGGATTTCCAACATGCAACATCAAGCTACAATCTCCTTTTTTGATAAAATGATTCTTTAACTGCTGATGTTGGGATCGCAGTGGACCCAGTATACTTTGACTTCTGTAAGGTATTTTATCAAGTTGATGAGATGACTTGTTTTAATTCATTTTAATTCATATTTTTATGAATTAATAAACTATTAATTGACAGTTTATGTATCTATGAATATTGATAAACCATGTCTATGTATTAATAAACCATTTCAATTCATGTATTGCTTATTATTTAGCGCACAGCTACAGCTATGGCATTTTGTACCTATAGTAGTCCCTTAGCTGCTGATTAACTTGCCCATTAGGCAGATGCAATAGCAGGAGAAGAAAACCAGACCATCTGTCTTTTTATTTAGGAATGCTTGCTTGTTAAGGTGATAGGTAACACCATGGTACTGATGTGCCAAGGAATGTTTGTTATTGATAACGTAAAAGATTTAGTATACCTTCTAACCTTTAGTTGAACTATGTTACTATGGCTACCGAGAATGCATGCATGACATTGTTTTTCACGATTGATTTATAGTGAAATGTACACCGTTCAAAATTGTATCAAAGAGGTTCATTGCAAAAGAGGTGGAACCTGCTTCTGGGCAACTTTTTATTTGCAAATAAAAGTCTTAACCCTTTCCACCTTTTTTAGTGTGGTTTATTGGGCCCACAGGCCAGATGAAGGCTCTGATCTTTCTGAGATTACAGAAAGATCTGCTGGTTGGCTTGGGGCCCCAACGGAGGCACTCCATGTTAGAAATGGCTGGTGGAGTGATAGAAAAGCCAACACAGTCCTAGGCTGTGTTAACAGAGGGATAGAATCAAGATCACATGAAGTACCGCTTTATAATGCCTTGGTAAGACCACACTTGAAATATTGCATCCAGTTTTGGTCACCATGATATAAAAGAAGATTTTGAGACTCTAAAAAGAGTGCAGAGAAGACCAATAAAGAATATTGTGTCTATGTTGAGTCAAATTAAGCCGCAGGCTCCACTCCTGGTGGTGCCCTTCCGTCAATTCCTTTAAGTTTCAGCTTTGCAACCATATTCCCCCCGGAACCCAAAGACTTTGGTTTCCCGGAAACACGGGAAACCTCACCCGGCCCGGACACGGAAAGGATTGACAGATCGATAGCTCTTTCTCGATTCTGTGGGTGGTGGTGCATGGCCGTTCTTAGTTGGTGGAGCGATTTGTCTGGTTAATTCCGATAACGAACGAGACTCTGGCATGCTAACTAGTTATGCGACCCCCGAGCGCTTTATTTGGGAAGGCAAGAAAGCACGGGTTAAATTTAAGATTATTCAAGATGTTAGAGAACGTGGAGGACTTAAAGCTCCAAATTTGATACTTTACTATGATTCTTGTGCATTGACATGGATGACGGATTGGATTAATTTATCTAACAAGAGGATATTGAACTTGGAAGGATGGGACTTGTACTTTGGGTGGCATG